AGATCCAAGGAGGCACAGAGCACAAGGAACCAGACTGTGTGTCACAGGACAGGGCAGGGATGTCTTCCATGAGGAGACCCTTTTTGCGTCATAAAACAAAATTACAGAGCGTCCATAAATGCCTCAGTGTCTTCTCTAAGCCAGAATCACTGATCAAAAGTCATAAAAGCACAAACAGATACTGGAGACGGTGTGAGTACCGCCATCGAGAGAGCATTTTTGTGTTTGCAAGATTGAAATTCAAAGTACTTCAGCTTTTTGTTTTGGTTTGTGGAGAACCTGTTACAAAAGTAACCCTGAAGTCATCGATCAATGCGAAGCCACAGAATAAACACCAGCAATGTCTCACATGATGACACTGCGAGTAATTACAACAGAAGCTCCGTTTTAAGGCCGCCTTGCAGGTGAGACAGCTTTACGGATCATTCACAGGCGGGTTTCTACGAGTCACAAAAAGAGCTACGTAATCCCTCTAACCCCCCCCGTCGAGTCCCAGCTGACTCTGACTCCAATCTGCCTCAGAAGTCCGGAGCCTGGCTGAAGGGGACTCGGACTTGTTCATTAATGCAGGGGTGTTAGGGGGGAATGTCTGTGCGAAACCCCTGAGGAAACAGTGCCTATTAAATTAGGAGCCTTTTTATCCCATAACACGGCCCCCTAACAGCTCTGACCACCCAGGGCCCTGACGAAGTGCTGCTGGACGGGTTCCTGGCATGCTGTGGAACTGGGGAACACACACCAAGGGCCACTCTTCCTCATTTGATTACTGGCTCCGCCCCCTATAATAAGCACCGCCCCCAACCTATCCTGTCCCCCCATGCCCCTAAGGGGAACTCAAACATGAAGTCACAGTCTTCATTATCGATGTCCAGCCCTGCTTTGCCAGTCTGACCTAGAGTAATGGAAGAGGTAGTGCGTTTGGTGGGGGTGGGGGGGGGGACCTGCCCGCTGGTGCTCATCTTCATGCCAACAACAGAGCAGGCACCCGCCCGACACGGGGGCGTCTGGCGAAGTGATTCCTGTAACTTCCTTAAGTGTGGCAGGCAGCTCAGCATTTTGCCCCCATCATCCTGCTTGTTGGCTCTTCTCTCTAGTCATTCATGTCACTAGACAAATGCCAACAACCTTCCTGAACTGCTGGACAGGGGTGTGGTGTTCATGGCGGGGGGGCGGTTTGGGCTGTACTGGACAGCCTCCATTGACTGGTCACCTCTACCGTTTCAGGTGGGGAGCTGGCCATCACCGCCAGTATTGATGCTGTTCGGAGCCCTTCCTTCCGTGGCCGTCCTCTGACAGGACAGGACATGCCCCTCTTAGCCTGTGGGGGGTGCTGTCAGCCGCCACCTGCTTCTGGAACCTGGGGAGGCAGGTGCTGGGGGCTGCTGGCTCGGTGCATTGGCACGCATGCTGGAGCTTTCTCACCTCCCCCCCCCCCC